ATCATGATGATATTCCGGAGTATTAAAATCTTATTTCAACAGAGAAAAACGTACATACTCTCCTTTTTTATGAGTAATTTGCCGGAGATAACATATTGTCTACCATTTTATAGTTATATTACTACATTTTTATCTATGTCCTTAAAATTCACGAGTTACAAAAAAAGGCTTTGTAGTAAGATACCTTGAGATGATGGAGAGTATTTCTAGGTTTGGGACCTAAGTTAATCTGTCTTGTAAACTATACTACACCGAACACTCCCCTTACCACACCTACACTTACAGTCCCACGGCCAGATCGAAACAGCCTTACATTTCAGCTAAATGACTAACGAGAGATCGGTCTAATAGTTGTGTTAATGGAATGCTGTTCACGGAGTCGATTATCTGGTGGGTAGTACACATATGGATTTGCACAAAACACGAAATGCTTCGGTATGGTCATGAGGATACATCCGCGTCATTAACATCAAATTAACAGTATGTTGATGGCAGGAAGAGTGGTACCAATAGACTTTTACCTTTTAGAGATAAGCATTTTTAAGTGTATGATAATGTTAAGTTGGTAAAACTAGATCGTATGTATTATGATATATCTGTATAACTTGACATTCGGGGCCATTGTCGGTGCCATCAAAATAACAATCATTTGTTCTCTACCAGATAAAACCGTTACCAACAGAAGGTGTCAAAACAGTGAGTCAGTATTCCTGCTGAAAAGGATAAAGGAATCATTCTAAATCATTCTGATCCCTATATCAGAAAAAGAATGTCTGCGCATCAAATTCAGTTTTTTTTCAACTGTGAAAATATTATTAATAAAAAGTATCGATCTTAGACAAAGAAAGATTTTGCTACGTGAACCATGCACACCTAACAAAACATTGTTATTTTGTCAAGAAAAAAGATGGCAATATATGAAATATATCCGAAACTGGATATTGACTGAGTGGTTTGATATAAATTCTTCAATATCAAGTTACAACTGAACTTCATTAGACTTCTACAATGCCAAGTTACAACTATCCAAACCAATTCTTCAATGTCAGGCTAAAGATAAACAAATCCTTCAATGTCAAGTTACATCTAAACAAACAAATCCTTCAATGTCAAGTTACATCTAAACAAACAAATCCTTCAATGTCAAGTTACATCTAAACAAACAAATCCTTCAACGTCAAGTTACATCTAAACAAACAAATCCTTCAATGTCAAGTTACATCTAAACAAACAAATCCTTCAACGTCAAGTTACATCTAAACAAACAAATCCTTCAATGTCAAGTTACATCTAAACAAACAAATCCTTCAACGTCAAGTTACATCTAAACAAACAAATCCTTCAATGTCAAGTTACATCTAAACAAACAAATCCTTCAACGTCAAGTTACATCTAAACAAACAAATCCTTCAACGTCAAGTTACATCTAAACAAACAAATCCTTCAATGTCAAGTTACATCTAAACAAACAAATCCTTCAATGTCAAGTTACATCTAAACAAACAAATCCTTCAACGTCAAGTTACATCTAAACAAACAAATCCTTCAATGTCAAGTTACATCTAAACAAACAAATCCTTCAATGTCAAGTTACATCTAAACAAACAAATACTTCAATGTCAAGTTACATCTAAACAAACAAATCCTTCAATGTCAAGTTACATCTAAACAAACAAATCCTTCAACGTCAAGTTACATCTAAACAAACAAATCCTTCAATGTCAAGTTACATCTAAACAAACAAATCCTTCAATGTCAAGTTACATCTAAACAAACAAATCCTTCAATGTCAAGTTACATCTAAACAAACAAATCCTTCAATGTCAAGTTACATCTAAACAAACAAATCCTTCAATGTCAAGTTACATCTAAACAAACAAATCCTTCAACGTCAAGTTACATCTAAACAAACAAATCCTTCAATGTCAAGTTACATCTAAACAAACAAATCCTTCAATGTCAAGTTACATCTAAACAAACAAATCCTTCAATGTCAAGTTACAACTAAAAATTGTGATAAAGATCATGAAAATTGATTCAATACAACTTTTCTTCATAAAACCTGTGAAATGGCGGTGACTTGTATCACAGTTTTTAGATGATATTACAGATATGTATATATTCTTCTAAACATATTTTTGAAAGCAAAGAAGATGCGGAAGAACTGCAGAAGACGTACAGTATTCAACAGAATATCTGTATATACTTCGTAGGTTTGTCCTGAAGGAGAGAAAAACAACTATATAAATCACATTTGTACACAACAACAGGAAGCCTATGACAAAATATCTGTAGATGGATTACATACATTTCGGCTGAGTTCGCTTGTTCGTTTCATTAGAATGACTTTCTTGTTAATGTTATACACCCGATATGTGTTTGATCAAACATGCTGTTAGACTTTTCTCATATATCACGTCACATCAGACCATGTGATACGGATTTTCAAGATGTGAAAACATATCGGTATTGTGTAAGAAAATGACGAAGTGTCTATATAAACTGTTGAGATATGTATGTGGGCTGTGTAGCGGGGTCATACACTGTCTCACAGAACGGGTACTTATGTTAGCGTGCAGACGAACATCCATCACGTTCGCCGTCTGCCACAAACCACCATCTCAGAGAAATTCATATCTTGGCACGAACGCCTGGGAATAAGAAAGAATACCATTTTAATGTCCAATCGATGTATAGGGTGGACATTTCTGGCATTCAGTTACTTATAGGAACTGTATATATGGCATATGTGTCACAATGATGAACACAGAAAGAACGAGTTTAATCATAGAAATTCATATTTCATTTAATGTTTTGTTCGCTCTCAAACAGTCCAAAGCATTTTATATGCAATAAACAATGATAGAGGACTTAAACATGTAGCGGTTAGTATAATCCATAAATATATGTTGTTTTTGTATTCTATAACAAGTGTGAGTAAATGATTATGTGGAGAAGCTTTCCCTGTACACCAGTACTGAGTAGGAGCTATGTCTTGTGAGATACAATGAGACGACGTCTGGAACTGATCTCAATGGCATTGGGGTGCAATAGTATTGGTAATGCCACGCTGGGGACCTCACCATACTGTATCTGTCGTAATTAGTTTTATCAGAATATATACGATGTCTAACGATATCGTAAACAAGATATTACTACAATTTACGGTATTGAAACATGACTTAGCAGTGACAGACACGTGAAGACCTGATACATTATGTGGGCTGTGTTGGTCAGTCTGTGGGATTCGCGGATATAACGCTTGTTAGACCTCTCTCATTATAGAACATTACTTATGAGGATCGACCAAGATTTACATGGCGAAAGTCTGTCGTCGATATAGCAGAACAACCATTTGTGAACACCACAGATCTGCTACTGTTAATGGGTCTCCTTGTATGGTTTTTCTTTAGTTGTATTTCCATCGATTTTATGTTTAAGTTACCATTTAGTTAATGCGTCGGTATTTTCTTTTGCTTTTTTTTTAGCCAAATGTATTCTCCATATTTACTGCAGAACAGAAAATGCTGAAAAATATGGTGATTATACTATTTGGTTAAGTGAAAATCGTATGATGACTGTAACATGTTTCCTTTAGTGTTAGAACAGAGGTAGTATGCAGAATGTTTAAGATTAATAACGGTTTATGCAATCTCCTTCGCTGACTATGTTCAATATAGGAAATGTTTCTGAATCTCGTTAATTATAATGCAATATTTGATATATGTCTACCAGCTTTATCGCCACAGATAACCTTTCATGATATAGAAATTAATCATAACGACATGAAAAACGATTTCACAGCATCAGATGAATGATAATCAACGACGTTTCTTTTGCAATACCTGCATTTACTGATTACGCAGATTTCAGAAATCAAACGTATCAGACAAACATCACAAGGTATGTTATAGAGGTGTATCACGTTTTACACAAAATTTATAACATAAAATAGGATTGCTGTGTTTTATATTATTGGTTCAGTAGAAGAAACAGAAAACGTGACAATAATACTAATTTTATTCAAATTCCACCAGGAAGACTATGTTGTGATAAGAATTTCGACAGAATCAGTCAAAGCACCAGAAGAATTAAACTACACGGTGCAACTTCATGCTGTCCCATGGCCTCTGAACACCATATACGTACCGTTTAGGCAATGGGGCTTTGAAAAGAAAATAGGAAAAATTAAAATCAAGTTAACAGTTAATAATCTTTGTCTGGGTATGATTACCTTACCAATGTTTTCATGCCATAACATAAAATGAAACGAGTCGGAGGATTTCATGTAGTGTTGGCAATCTCTTACAAAATAAAGTCCCTGAAAAATGCTGTTTGGTAAAAAAGTAATCGGTTGCAATTTAATGTGAAAACTTTAATCACGGTGACCTGTCTTCTTTCTGGATAACATTTTGCGCTGGAGTTTTATCACAATGCAATGCAATTGAACGTCTTAGAGGCGACATGCGGTTCTAACAACTTAATTGAAACAGTGGGCGTTGTCTTAATCAAACGTGCTGTCTAGCAGAACCATACGTCTTAATAATATCATAATAGTTAATTTTGTCGCGTTAATCTGGCTTCGTGTTATTTATGTAACAACATTCCGATTCATTTATTCACGTTAAAACCGTGGTCGTTCTTCATGGAAATCGAACCTTAATGCTCTTCACATGCCATTACACATAGGTCCGGCTATATTCTGTAACAGACTTGGTATATTCTTCTATCTAATAATAAACTATCAAAAGATTTGTTATCTTCGTGTTTGATATTCGAACAACTCAAAGTGTAGAATTGTCCATAGCGGGGTGAATGAATCTTTTTTTCAGTTGCTCTTAGTTGTATTGTTTTTGAAATACCACAATGCCTACCTTTAACGAATATCTGCAGTTAGTGGCAATATTTCCAAGGACGAACACTGAACTGTGTAAGTTTTCGTTCAATTTACACATATGTAACATCGTTGTTTAATCATGAACCTTCTTCGTCTGTTGCAGGTTTTGGAATGACGACTCCGCGAACTATTGCTGGCAAAATAGTTCTTATTTTCTACGGCTTCTTCGGGTGTGCTGGAACCATTCTCTTTTTCAACCTGTTTCTGGAACGAATCATTACCTTTCTCGCCTATATCCTCCGATCCATCCACGAGAGAGAGTTAAAACGGAAAGGACTGACGAACGGGTCACATGACTCCAGACGTGGTTCTCAAGTATCCGACGACGACCGATTGGACACTTGGAAACCCTCAGTATACTGGGTAATGTTGATATTATTCTTGGGGGCAGTCATAGTAGCTTGTTGTGCCTCCGCGATGTACCACCCAGTGGAAGACTGGACATATTTTGAAGCCATTTATTTTTGTTTTGTGACATTTGCAACGATAGGGTTTGGTGATTATGTTGTTAGTCAAAAAGAGAGTTATCCTAATGTTCATCTTTACCGGTTCGGAAACTTTATATTTATAGTAATAGGCTGTTGTTGTATATACAGTCTGTTTAACGTGGCATCCATCGTTATTAAACAACTCCTTAACTGGATTATCAAAAAGCTTAACTGCAGGTGCCGAAGGAGGAAAAAGTCGAAAGGTCGGCGAAACGCCATTACGCCGGGGCACATTCACAGGGGATCCAAAATGAACAAATCCAAGGCAGTAACCGTTGAGTGTGATAGTGACTCGGACGGTCGGCGAAATTCGGACGAAATGATTTCCATGAGGGATTTCCTTCAAGCAAATAAAATATCTCTCGCCATGATGCAGAAGCAGCTGTGGGAAACATCACAAAGAGGAATGAACTCCTCCAATGGAAGTGGTTTCCAAGGTCCAGTTGGACCGTTGGCGATTCTCAACAGAAAGCTAGGCCAGGAAGAAGTGTGAGTGACCACGGGATTTAAAACCTTGTAAAACTCGATGAGCTTAAAGGGTAATAAAATGTGGACAAGGTCAGGAAATGATAACCCAATGCGGTGATAAACCCATGTGCTGACAAGTTTAGGCCTGCAAACGACGGTGTCATTGTCACTTTATGAAGTTATTTTCTTTAATTGAAAGCTCAACTGCTGTAGGTTGGTAATGTCAGATGCAGAAAGCCCAAGTATGAGGACATCGATTCCAGTGTAGTTGCGATGAATTCACTCCGTGCCCATTTAAACATCAAAACTGTTCAAGCTCCAAGTAAAGCACAACATTACGAATGTGTTTGAGTAAACCACGAGGATATCCTAACGGCCGATATGTTGTAGCATTTCGGTTACAACCAAACGCTTCAATTTTGGTTTGAAGTTACGAATAAAAACATGCTTGCAAAAAAGCTGTTTTAATCAGAATTATCGACTATGCTGCCACAGTAGGACCGTTTCTACCAATTACTTTCTATTATGCCCGTTGTATTTGTTTATAACTGTTAACATATAGAGTTACTGGAACTGATTCGGTACACGACTGATAGTAACAAGACAAGACTGCCTAGACTCGAGGATCAGTACTGACACTAGGGTGATGCTGACTGTTCGAAAAATGGCTAATGATCAAGCCTTATCTTGAGATTTGTACCCAAGCCTTATACCATCATATTTACAACTATATATCGCCCACGCGTTGCCCACACCAAAGTTTGGCGCGGAACGAAGAGATATATACCAAAACGTGCCTATCATCGTCCCTCGTGTATAATACCAATATGGCTAGTCCGAAGATATCTAAATTTGGCTTTTGTGATACAATATCCATGACTATGGCATCTTATAAGCATGTAAATCACTGATATAAATCAAGAGCGCATCGGCAAAACCGTGATTCCAGTCGTTATGTTAATTTTTAAATGGACAGGTCGGAAATAGATATTATCTGTGTATTAGAGAACTGCTTCCATCAACGAATTTTGTTGCTCGTCGGAAACAAGACACGTAACCTTCACATAATGCCTTATACCACAGCGCCCCACATGAGAGCATAAGCTAGCAGTGGGCCAATGATGGAGCGAAGGTATGTGATAAAAAAGGAGAATTTGGTGTCACATCTTAGCAGTGTAAATTTACATTGAAGACAAAACACTGATTTGCCGCGATGTAAGGTAGCTACTGTGTGTATATTCTTAAGCGTTAAAGCTACACCGACTGGTGAACAATCATCAGGGTTACCATGATGTGTAGAACTTTTAAATGTTTACTTCTGTTTGTAGTTTGATTACAACATTTCACGAGAGACGACGTCTATCGTAATTTAACCCGAAGGATTTGACGAAGTAAATGCGATATCACGCTCTTTTCTACGACGAAAATAAATACTGTGTTAACTACTATATGTATTGACCTCTAAAAGCGGTTAAATGTCGTATTCGGACAATGTGTAAATGGACCTAAGCGCTAAGGTTATACCTGTCCTGTGTCACACTGCCTCTAAGTCCTTGCGCGCTATTTATGGCCTACACCCAAAGCATACCTATAAGAAAATGAATTGAATCAAACTACATATATGTTTCCTATTATATGTGATCCCAGGGACAGATGTAGGTAAGCAATTGACACTCTTGTATAGCTCGATTTTCTTTCTATTTTCTTATATTGAACTTGTGTGCATATGCGTGACTGGTTGTATTTGGATAGGTTCCGGTTTAGATAATGATAACTTGCGTGCACATGCGTGACTGGTTGTGTGTGGATAGGTTCCGGTTTACATAATGGTAACTTGTGTGCACATGCGTGAATGGTTGTGTGTGGATAGGTTCCGGTTTACATAATGATAACTTGTGTGCATATGCGTGACTGGTTGTATTTGGATAGGTTCCGGTTTAGATAATGATAACTTGTGTGCACATGCGTGACTGGTTGTGTATGGATAAGTTCCGGTTTAGATAATGATAATTCATTCATGTATTCGTTTGTGTTCTTCATGGCCATTTCACGTAATTCCTGGTTGAACGGAAGTCAATACAACAAAAAACATAATTACTTTGATGCACAGTCATGTCTGCCGTGTCTACTTTCAAACCAAATATGTTAATTCAATTATGGATATCTAAATTTAAAACTAACATAAAACCCAGAAGTTTTACATTGTGCAATAGATATCATTTGACAGAACTCAGAAATCATTATGTAATTCTGTCTTCAAATGATACGTGTTAACACATCAGTCGTTAGAGTCAATGTGATTGGAGCCTTTGCAAAATCAAAATGTTAAAAAAACTGTATTTTAAGTTCTGTATAAACGGTGACGTCATGCACCAGTGATGTCGAAGGAGTACAACAATGTCGCTATAAGTACGTCTCAATGTTATAATCTGTAGTACCATCAAGTTATTGTAAACGGAAATGCTGAAATTCTTCATTATTTTAAGCCGACTCGACGACGATGTTTGGCCGATAGCACTTTATTGGTTTTGACAAGGTCTAGATCGGGGGTCAGCACTGTTCTTGGAATAAATCTAGATTATCATCTAGAATCGAGCAGCTCGCTCTGACACGAACTGTCAAGCGTTTGTAATGTAACTCGCTCTATAATTAGTTTCGACAAAAAATACCCGGCAGTCAATATCCCTGACACAGACACACATATTCACAAATCATGACCGAAGCGACGATCTGACGTGTTTTCGACAATGGGAATAAGTTAGCGAAAGGATCTGTCTAATTTAAGAAGGGGTACTCCCTACGGAATAAAACCGAACTATACATACAATAAAATATCATACGTGGCACTATTCGTTATTATCACAACAGCAGTCGATGTATTTTCCATCACTGCCAACATAAACACATTTGATAAGGATATGCAACATTAACCGAACAACACAATGTATAGGTATATATATAGTACAGTCATAGACATCTATATAGTACTCTCTCTATATATATATGTATATATCGTACAATGTATAGGTATATATATAGTACAGTTATAGACATCTATATAGTACTCTCTCTCTATATATGTATATATCGTACAATATATAGGTATATACATAGTACAGTTATAGACATCTATATAGTACTCTCTCTCTCTCTCTCTCTCTCTCTATATATATATATATATATATATATATATAACGTACAATGTATAGGTATATATATAGTACAATAGTATAATATTTTTTCTGGTATCGGTATATAGTTTTTTGGTGCAAAGTATTTATAGGTTTGATATAATATTCACGGTGAACGATGCAGATACTTGTCTCGCTTTAATCTCAAAAAAGTTTGAATTTTCCTAAAAGATTTTCATGCAAAAGTGCCTGAGGAAATAATGTAAATTGAACGAAATACACACAGAAAGGACTTACAATGGAAATGAATTACTGTCAATGTTTTGAAACGGGAGCCAAAAGGCTTCAGCTCATGAACCATGCTGCCAAGATCTTCAAAATGTGTTCGGGGCGAAACGGGAGTCTCGGTTGTAAGAACTTTTAGCAAGGGGTCACCATTATTTCCTTGTATTGTCATGCGGGTTTGGAGATTTAAGATAAATTGAAATGCCTACTACAGTGATGCTATTTACCCAAATGTCATTAATGGATATGCTCGTGCCAAGCCCGCAGGTATCAAGTGAAGGGTTTCTTTGATCAGGGTCTGGCACTGGGGCCAAAAACAGGTACTCTCGGGCAGACTTTCTACCTATTGTCTCCTCCGAAATTCTTTTTAGTTTATTAAAATGCATACGAAAACCTTGTCGGCTCCGACCTGTCCTTGCTGCTCTCTCAGTAGTGTTGAGCCATCAGCAACACATCAGTTCTCAGTCTATGGTGACGTGAAGTAATGACATGTTCGCCTTAACAATTTTAATACATTCCTGCTTTAAAACAGTCATTACAAATGCATGTTGCTCAAATAATACCCAGTTTTTGGACCAAAGATCACGGGTTCAAAATTTCAATGCGTCAAATGTCGTGTATTCTATGTATGTCTCGGTATGTATGTTTTTGTTTCTATTTGAAAGGGAATTATGGTCATTTTGATTGCGATTGCGCGTGCATGAATTTGTAAGAGACTGTACGTTAGAGTGTGATACATATAGAAATTACGTAAATGTAGCAGAACATTGCATTGTATGGGATTGTGTGTGAGTGTATGACAGATTAATTGAACTTATTGATACAAAACATAAAGTTTATTTGGTAATATAAATATGATTAGAGACACATTATAACACGCTTCTTATTTCATTAGAGTTTGTAGATAGCAACCTTAAGCGGTTGACCTTTGTATGCTGTGTGTGTTGTATACGAAACATAGTCGTACCCTATGTTTTGCCTGGGCTCGCCTACTCAGCATACATTTCTCTTAACGGAGTTACCCGCGAGTAGACTTAATCAATTATACTTAAACATTCTGTATCACAGATCATTCCATGTTTTTCAAACAGTCCCGCATTATTTTTTTATAAGCAATTTCACTTTTGAATTTGATTTTACAGTTTTAACACTTCCAAGTTTAGCCGAAAGGAAAATTTTGGAGAAAAATAAGGATTTCTGACGTGATTTATTTCTGAATATCTCCGTTATAATCAATGATAATGTTTCTGTCTAAGTATAATTATAATCGTTTTATCTCTATAAATACTTGTTCGTTTAGAAATGTTAACTTTTACTCGGTATAATTGTTTATTTATTAAGTATTGTAAATGGCGTCCTGATGAAACACACTTTTCGAGTATCGCATGATTGTTTTAACTAGCACTCGAAGAAAAAGCCAGTGATAACCAAGAGAAAAACAATTGAATATTTTATTTGTAATCATTTTCAAGAAGTTAAATTTCCAGTTTAATGAATTTCAATTGATTGTTCATTTATTAATCATTCTCGGTCAAAGTTCATCGGAGCGATGTGTAAGATTTGTAAATATCATTGTTTAAATATCTTCTTTTCCGTTTATAGAAAAATA